TTCTCGTATGAACTATCTCTTTTCACTAAAAAGTTATTTACGAATAAAGGGACAAAAATCCCTTTTTTTTCTAATTCTATTCTGAACATTAACTGAATTCCGACATAAGGACCAATGCAATAGTTAGGCTTCAATAAAATAATTGACAATTTATGATATACCTGATTCTGGTTCGTCTGTATCAGCACCTCGAAGACAAGAGTGAAAACTACGTGAGAGTCGTCGACCCCCCGGTGATGTCGCTTCATTAGTCACCGCGGGATTCATATTGTTTTTACGTATTTCCAATTTATGATTGCACAATATTTAGCAACATAAAATAAAACACTCGAATAATCACTTTATCAATTATTATTTTAGGTAATGTAATATTCATAATTTTCAATATTTTATAAACAGGGAAAACAGAAAACGGAAGCTCCTTTTGTTGGTTGTCATCCGAAACCAAATACCGGACGTAGTACTAGTCTACTACCTGCTTGTGCTTCCGGTAAGTCTTTTCAGAAGTTTAAGTACCATGTCCTTTCGTGCACGTGTAGCGCGGAAGACGATCAAGAAAAAAAAGAAGATTCAAAGAAAAAAATATTATCGTTTATTTACAAAAATAAAATTTAATAATAAAACACCTATAATTTTATCTCTTTTCTTTATCTATATAATTTTCTTCTTTAATCAAACGAAGCATCAAATGTCATGTCAGAATTTTAAAATGTCATAGTGATAGATAATTTGTATTATTTATAATATAACATATATAAATACAGTGATAACTGATTAGCGTTATGGTAACGATATTAAACATACACGTGTGGTGACACTTAATATCGTGTATTATTTACTTTTTTCTCAAGGCTATTCGACGAAACATTAATTGATATATCATCAGCATAGAGTGGTGGCGTTTTCAGTCAGTGTAACACGACATCCGGTAAATAATGTGACCATTCTATGCTCTGTCCAGTTCGTTTAAATAAATCAACTCATATGGTGTAGTGGGCGTTGCCTTTTTTTTACTCATCAGTCCTTTACGAATTTATCTAAGCTATATCATTTGTTTGTGTGATATAGAATATAGCCAACGCTTTAAATTAGTATATATAAGTACACATATTATTGGAGTAAGTAAGTGTAAAAGAGCTGAACGGAAACGCACATGAACCAGCGGGGTCTCTTTCCCTCTTTTTATGTTACTTTTTTTTCTTTTTTCAGGCCTTTTTTACTGTTTACCACCTGGACTGTGAACATGCGGTAGTAAAACAGGTGCAAACCTCCTCGGCTCCATGTGTTTAAAGGGATGCCAATATCTTATCCGTATCCGTATCATTTTCAGAGCTCATTGATAAAATAATTTTTATACTTTAATATTATTTCTCGTATTGCGGAAATACTAAAACTCGTCGAGACTGCACGACGACAGAGCAATACCATTTATTATTTGATATGACATAAATGTGAATAGATATAGTCTTTAAACTCAATAAAAGAAATTCACTCTTTGAATATAAATATGTGTGTGTACGTCTTATGATACTACTCCGATTTCAAAGGAATGTATTCAAATACAATTGTCAACCTCGTGAAGAAAAAAAGTCTCTCAATTTCTGTTGTTATATATAACTTTATACAAGTAAATTTTCTTTTGTACATGTGAATACAATACTCTTTACAAAATAAGAACGAAAACTCGAAACATCAACTTAGAGGCGAGAGTTCTCTTGCACAAAACACCAAGGACACCGCGTCCAAAGCGAGTATACGTACTCCAAAAAAAGAAAAAAAAATATACATATATATATATATATATATATATA